TTGACTTTTTGTTTGCATCTATCTCACTCCATAGCCCAAACCATGATCTCTTGGATACACATATATACGTACATATGGGAATGTAACTCGCATTTTAAGGACCACACCACAGTAAGTGATGAGTGCCGACCTTTCTCATGTTAAGTGCTTCCACAAGTATCTATTCACACTCTTGAGGATCATATCATTAGGACGTCCACGGATATGTCAGTTTGTCCACGTACTCGTTGGAAAAAGGCTTAAATAATCTAAAACCAACCAATCTTGCCATCTTGGTATCTGACTAATTGAGATTGCGATTGTGAACTAAGCCTGGGCAATAAAACTCGAAACCGAAATACCGAACCGAAATCCGAAGTGTGTTTAACTTTTTATTGATACCCCTCATCATCTCATGTGCCTTTATTATCTCATTAAACAATCTTGTTGTCATTCAATAATGCAATTATAGCTTTTTCCAATTTGATTAAAGCATTCCCACATACTCCCTCCGTTCCTTAAAGATACATATTCTAGAAAAAAAATTTGTTTCTAAAAGATCCATTTTTTACATTTTCAATGTATGTTTTATTAAATAATTGTAAACTTCAAAAAACTTAATTGCACTAATTGATTTTTGATTGGTTTAGAATTATAGAAAGAAGATAAATACAAAAAACTATGCAAATTTATTGTGTTTTATTAAAAAGTGTGAAAAAACTAGAATATGGATCTTTTAGGAACAGAGGGAGTAGTATATATCAATCTCGATTTTATATTTTTTTTCAATATCGAAGTTGTCAATAATACATGTTCACCAGTCTTTGCTAATGCACATATTCATAATAAGAGAATCTACAGAATGTACAAGGAAATCTTTTTTCTGAGTCTTTTGCTTCTCGCACTTCCATAGTAATAAATATCTCAAATGTGTTGTTAATTTCTCTCACGAAGAACTCATACATTCATTCTCCAACATGATCGTAGTACATACCTTAAGTGTGTCGAAACGAAACAACTGGACCTCACCACCGCGTGGTGTCCCAGTAAGTTCCCATTATTTTCCTCAATCCCAGGTCAATTACCAAAATAATGTGAAGATGCTTCACATGGCACGCAATCACGACACTCTTGCCACCAAACTATAGGTAGACAACACATGCCCACATCATACAATGTAAATATACTACTCATCCGACAACCTGTAACTGTAATTCTCAAAAGTCTTTATATAACTGTAATACGTGGAAGCAAAATGAATAACGTGAACATCATCCCAGACAATATCCTCATCACCAAATTTTCAAAACAAAGAAATAATGAATAAAAATAGAAAAACCAAAACAAAGGACTAAGATTCTCTCTCCGAAGAAATGGTGTGCATAGAAATCCCCTCATCTTATTTTTGCCCGCAGCTACTGTAACTCCAATACCAATTTATCTCCCCCTCCCTCAACAGTAATGCTAACACACCCTTCTCTTTCACTATGCCTTGGCTCCCTCAGCCTCAGCCACAGGCTTTTCCGCTTCTCCCGAGGCAGCAGTAGCAGCAGCCTCCTCAGGTTTCGCTGTTTCAGCAGTTGCGTCTTTGGCAGGTGATGCAGGTTTCTCCTCTGCCGCCTTTGTCTCTACCGCAGGTTTTTCCCCTGCCGCAGGTTTTCCATCTTTGGTGTCCTTGGCGTCTTTGCCACCTTTAGCATCTTTGGCATCTTTGCCGTCCTTGGCATCTTTAGCAGGGGGAGGAGGAGGCATCATGTGGGGTGGTGGATTAGTCTTGAGCTTCAAGAATATTTGCCTCATTCTCCCAAGATCAGTAGGCTTCCCAGGTTTAGGACCCTGGATAACATTTACTGAAGGTTTCTTGTCGGGATCCTTTTTCCCTCTCTTCTTCTCAATGTTGGGAACCTCACGCGGGATCAGCTCTGCGATTGCTTTCCAGTAATGCTTGTCAACTTCTTTGTGGAATTTCTCTTGGTTCACCCAATATAACTACAACAGAGAGAGAGAGAGGCAAAAACTCAGTCAAGTTTGAAAGAAGGATGAACTGAACCACAGGCTTTATTACCTTCTCTCGTTCGCGGTTATCAGCTTTGTTGGTCTCGATGGTCTTCTCTCTCTTCTCATAGAAAGCCTTCTTGTATTCTTCAGCTTCAGCTATGATCTGATTCCGCATCTCCTTCTCTTTCTTTTCCTTCTCCTCGAGGTGAAGTTGGTTTTGACTGGACCAATAAGAATATCACTAAGAGATTCAAATTTAACTCTAATCTAATCAGAGGGATTGCAATTGAAGTCTAATCTAGCAAATTGCCATCAAAGTCAAATCTTCACAACTATTACCATCACATTCTAACATCATTAATTAAAGTCCAAAACTTTCCTAAACTAGGATCTGGTGAGAAGCATAGAGAGATCTAAGAAGAAGACTGACCGGCGCCACTCACGGCGTTGGAAACCCTCTTCCTGCATCTCGGTTGGATCTGGAAGGGTGGGCCCATCGGAGGCGAAGATCCCGTCGCCGTTTCCGTTTGGGGAGGAATCGGCAGCGAATCCGTAGCCGTTGGGAGAGGCGGGATTTTCAGATCCATCTCCGTTGAAGGAGGAGAAGCCACCAGACGGAGGTTGCTGGGCTTCAGAGGAGAAATTTTCGTAGCTCATGAATGAATCGTCGTGTTCAGACGGTGAATGGGTCTGAGCCGGGAAGTCTCCGTCATCGAAAGTAGCCATGGCGCAAAAAGAAAGGAGCTTTTGTTTTTGCTTCTTCTCTTCTGACTTATGATCGCTGCTTTGATTTCACAAGAAAGAGAGAAATATAGACAAAGCCTTAAACGGCGTCGTTTCAAAGTTTGGCGTAGATCTGATACTTTTTTTTTTGTTCCACTAGAATAGGGCGCGTTGACCAAAACGTGCAACTGACTAACCCAATCGTTTGAAACGACCACGTTTCACTTTTTATCTGTTTAGGTAGGAGCCTCTGGCTGAGAAGGAGGTTCCAGGTGTTGCTTGACCAAACACACACAACGGCGTCGTTTTCAATGCTAGAAACGACATATCATCTTACAAAAAGGACTCCTGTGGGTGTGTCACTCGATCTCTTCTTCCCCCAATCTCTCCTGAAAACCCTAAATTAGAAGTCGAGAACGATGGCGTCCTTTGCTCGCCGAGCCATGAGCCTAGCTCAGATTCCTTCTGCACGTGCCCCCGCCTCTGTTTGTCAGCGTCGCGGTCTCGCCGGCGCCGCTGGTACTTTCTTCGTCCTCTTCCGATGTTTGCTTATAGATCTAATGATTGTGTTTTTGTGTTCGTAGTTTCTTTCATCGTGGAGAAATCTTTACGGAATCCAATTGATTGATTGTTTGTTTCGATTCGAATGTTGCAGATCACCATGGATCTACCAAGGTTGACTTCTGGAAACAGCCAACAAACCCAGGAAACTGGAAGGAGGAGCATGTACGTTTCGTATCTCCTCTCTATTGTGTTTTCGTTTTAAAGCTATGAGTTAATGATGATTCCTTCTCCGCAGTTTGTACTTATTTCGCTCTCTGGCTGGGGAATGCTTTTCTACGGTGGATACAAGCTCTTCACCGGCGGCAAAGGAGAGGTGACTGCTTCCTCTTCTTCCTTTTTTTAGAAACTGCCTTGTGCTCCTTTACCCTTACATATGTTTTGATGGTCTTTGCAGAAGCCTGCCGAGGCTGCACAATGAATTGTATCACTGGGGAAACACTAGAGAACTCTCCTTACCGTGCATTCGCTTTCCTTTCCAGCACCTTGTGACTGTGGTCTTGTTATCAATGCCAGCAATTACTTCTTGTTTGTTTTCTTTGACAATAATATGCATCAATCTCCTTTTGAGATCCTAATGTGGATGATTCTTCTTGGCTGGTTTGCCTTTCATAAATTTCCCTATGCGTTGAAACATATCAAGATTTTAGCATTGTGATATGCTTTGGATCATTCTACTTGTTCTATTTTTTTGGATACCAAGTTTTAGTCCACATGTTCCTTACACCTTTTACAATTCAGTTCCTTATTCAGCATTAGTTACTAAAACTACTTTCGCCATGTTTGAATGATCTAAATGTTGCTGCTAGTTGATCTCGTCTACAGCTGCTGTTCTCGGCTCTGTTAATGCCTAATTACATAGATCTTGAGAGGGCGAAGTGTACTCTTCAACGTTCACAGCTTGCATCTTGTTAATTTTGTGGTGTCCATCTCTGGCCTTGTGTGTGTATTTGGAGTTGAAATTAGATCTACGAGTTCTCCTAATGCTTTCCAACCACAACTCTTCCAGTTGTTTTTTTATTCATACACGGTCTCTCTAGTCCTGAAGGTTGTAGTATGTGAGGAGCGCTCTTTTAATCGTAACCTAGACTCTCTCAGTGAACACCCACATGTAGTTTCTAGAGGTTTCTTTCTCAGAATACTTCTCAAAGGCAGCTGGCGTTATCTTGTCTGTATATTAAGATGATCCCGATGGCAAAAAAATATGGTAGATTCCCTGGCTTTTAAGACTGCATATATATACGAAGCACATTGAATCGTCAAGAAGCAATTCACTAGGCCAAACAAGCGATATGAATTGACGAATATACATCCAACTAAAGAAGTTGCCACGCATTATTATCAATGATATGTACGTGAGGGAAAACAAATGTTAAAGAGAAAACAACAGGCGAACTCACGCGTTCACATCATTTGTCTCTAAGGTTTCATGGTTATATAATACGTCATTTCAGAATTTTTTTTTTCTTTCAACTGGTTATTTATATGTGGCAGTCACGTATGTGTTCCTACACTCCAGGGTGCGCATCTTAATGCCAAGATTTCCAATGCTGAATACGAGGAACAAGTAGGCATATTGTACATACCCTTACTATGATGGGATTAATCTTTTCGTCTCTCACCTAATGGAACTATCATATTAGTTTCATTTTCATTTTAAATATCTGCTAGTTTGAATTTATGCCATCACAATACAATATAGAAAAACACAACAGCAAAATCTAAACTCTATAAGATGGATGTTGGGAATGACAACATATTGTTTTTGATTTTCAAATCTTGACCACAAAGGCACAAACAAATTTATGTATGATATCAACTGATGAGCAACTCCTTATACCTTTGAGCGATCTGATCGGCTGTAAAGTCCGTATAATACCCTTTTCCCACAAGCAGACCTTCCTCTCTGCCAAGCCTCTCGATCAGTCCCTGAACTTCATCTCCTCCGACTTGGCTTGGATTCAACAAGTTACATGCGACCTCTATCACTCCTTCCCCGTGCACCAGAGCCATCGTCTGCACCGAAGCCAAACCTCCTCCTCTCTCACTCACATTCCTCGCCAATCCCTTCACTGCCTTGAGATCAGTTGACATGACTGGCACGTTGTAGTTACTGACCCACCCGCACGCCCCAACCGCTACAACCCCTTTGGCTTTGCTCACCTCTTGTGGCCCTGCGTCTGGCTTGAGTGGCACCACTTCCAGATCCAACCCACCTGCCCATTCATGGCCCTCCCTGTTTGCCTTGAAGTACCCCAGCTTCCTTCTTATGGAATCCAACGTGCACTGCTCCTCATGTGCTGCTCCATATAGATATGTAGGAACTGCACAAATGGTTGTGGGTCATATAAACATTAATTATACTTATCTCTCAACCGCCTCAAGATTACAAAACTCTATGAATAAGGTCCTCCATAAAGTACCAACCTCTGAGAATAGAGCCGATATCCATTGCCAAGGAAGTGGCAACGGCAGAAACTCGCTCAATAGAGGTGTGAGACAAAGGGTGAAAGCATATGCGGTCGACCACTCCAAGCCGGGGATGGGATCCACAATGCAACTCGAGGTTGATTGTGTCGAGAGCAGTCTTGACCATTGCAAAGACCGCATTCTTCAGGGGAGAAGATGACCCCTCGTGAGCTAAAGTGGAGACAAGAGTGTAACCGACCCTGCCATAATCTGCGTCTTCAAACTTGTTGACAATTGCAGCTGGTGGAAAAGGCTTTGCGGCTCTCTCAATAGCTTCAAGGGCAGTCTTATTCCGCGCTTCAGAAATGTAAACCTTGCAACAAGCAAGCATCTCTTTCCTCAACATCTCCTCCGACCACCTCCTCCTATAGATAAATAAATAATTAAAAGTGTGTTTTGTTGGCTAAAAGAAAGAAAGAAATCATTATCCACCACATTTAGATCTGTGGCCAGTATTCATTCTTACAGGTCCACAAAAAGAACAAACCAATTAAAAAAAAAATTAAAAGAAAAAAAAAACAATACATACATACACCAGAGTCGTGTCTTGTTAGAAGTCGAGATTGGAAGAGGGGTTTGGGTATCCCTTGTACACCAATTGTTTCTTGGATATGCCCAGAGATGCGCATATGATGTTGAATTTGACCCTGAGATTTTCCTTGATATCGTCTTTGGTTTCGTCCTCGGGATCCAGCAGCGGGAACTTATCGAGCAAGGCCTGGAAATCATGGAGATGCTTTTGGAGCTGAGGAGAAAAGTGAACAAGGAGAGCAGGAGAGTTCCAGAGGGAAGAGCAACCCTTGTAGAAACCGATCAGCTCTCCTGTTTCGAACCCAAGTTTCAGACCTAGATGACGAGCGTCTTCCCGACCTGACACGAGACCGGCTTTGTAACCCTCGTCGAAGCCTTCCTGTATGTGTGTTTCCTCTAGGCGCAATATACAATCGAATATATCTTCCGAACTCATCATCCAATTGAACAAAAAGTGATGATTGATGATCTCTCTCGATGTATCTTCTTGTAAGTTTCAAATTTAAATTAGGGTTAAGGAGAAAGACAAGAGGTTAAGGTTTTTATGGTATTTTGAACAGGTTTTATGGTGTTACTTTTGGGTCAGAGTATATGCGGCCCAAAACAATTGGGCCCTCCTCAGATATGTTAAGTGCTATCAAACATGAGACACCGTCTGTACTGAGAGGGAAGTGCATTTAATGGTGAAAGCTGTAAAACGACTGGAAGCAAGTTGGGGTTAGTTTGGATTTATTCATTCCTTCATACTTTTCCTATTAACTTTTCTTACCAAACTTGTGTGTCAACTTCAGTTTATGATAAGCAAAAGGAGAAGATCCATCTCAAAAGCTTATAGGAAACCGCTGAATAACAAATAAACAGTAGGGTTTTCTAGGCAATCAAGCTACATACAATGGAACGTAGCTTTGATTCATTAAAACAAACAAATGGAATTAGGAAAAAAAAAAAAAGAACAAATATGTTTGGCTCATCAGTTATCAGTGGTAAGACTTGAGCACAGCGCCGCAGAAGTGACAGACAATGGCCTTCCAAGCTTTGCGGTAAAAGGGAACCCCGCAGAATCTTGTGGAGGTTCTCATGTCAGCCACCACTGCTCCTCCTCCACACCTCGAGCATAAACCGGCAGCCGGCTTCCTCCCTCGGACTTGCTTCCTTTGGTCTACAAGAAAACAGAAGATGGCCATTCCTTCTTTTTTCTTCTCCACAGGTCAGATCAGACTAGATGAAGAGAGATATATAGTCAACAGCAGAACTAGAACTGAATGTTGTGTGTTAAGCTTCAAGTTGTAGTGGGTTAAGTGTGTGTGTCGTCTTAAATAGTGCAGTCTTGGCCCCTTGGGAGTTATTCAATCATCTAGATCTCCGCCGCGTGTCACATACAGTTGGCTCGCTGACTTCCGTTATTCCCATTGACTTTTTAACATTCAAAAACGTTCATTGAATTTATTATATAAACCACCACTTGTGAGTTGTGTGGCACATCTCTTTTATCACTCTCAACTGCCTCTGGTTATTTTATTTTATTTATAGGATACTACACCAGAGGCACAGAGAAACCCATTTCCCAATTAACCATAGCCATTGACTTTCTCATCATTCGTCATATTGTTTAGTTATTTTGCAACATAATGATAGCATCCACCCCCATTGACTTTGAACAAACAACCATGTTCTAAGGTTACCCATACCTGAGCCATCACGTACGCGTTTGCGGGCTATATCCAACTTGGTATTTATTATGTATATGCTTTAGAGTGTAGGCTTCTTTCAAAGATGGTTTTTGAAAAAAAAAAAAGCTAAGAAATTGAGGGAGTTACATTAAACTTAATTCAGCCTCTAGTAGTTTGACATTATGATCATCCTTCCCATGCACAAGAAAGTGCATAAAGCAATCTATCGACTATAGTTTCCTTGCTCAATTGGAATGAGAACTAGTTTTACATTACTTACTACAACACATATACACGTTTCTAATAAATAAAAAGGCAGATATAACTTTGCAATTCCACACGCGTTGAGTGATTAACAAACAATGAAAGCCCCTAAAGATTAGATGATGAGGAGACGGAATCATTCAAGTGACCGCAAAAGGATTAACCTCGCCTTTGTCCAAGGAACTAGACTGAGACAGAGACATTGCTCCAATCTAGAGAGAAAGAGTCTGTTGGAATGAATTTCCAGAGACTAGTAGGTGTGTTTTTTTAGTTTCACCTAAGCAAAAACGTTAAGGCCACACGTCATGGTTATTTGATTCGTGTAGAAGAAGGAGGAACAAGGGACTTTTGATAACTGATTAATATTTTCCTTGATAAGTTTCCAGAGACGATTACATCATTAATATATAGAGAGAAGAGAAAAATCTAGATTAAGGATAAGAACAGTTCAGAGGTGACAGCTAGAAAAGTTTGTTTGTCCTTTCATCAACGGATAGGAGAAGATCAAATGGATTGGAGAGAGGCAGAGTCATCTCCGTCTCTCATGTATCTTTGACGCTTTGTGCTGACCATAAGACCGTTGAGGGTTTTGTCTTGTTCATCTCATAGTTGCAGACATATTTTGTGTATATCATCGAGATTTCCTCCATATCTCCTTTAACTTCACCAAATATAAAATCCACCCAAATCTCTAAAATCTACAATTCAATATATTCCCTTTATGTTTTTTTTCGGATACATGTAAGTTGAGAAAAGTTTTAGGAATTTTAAATATTTTCCATACGTTTGAGTTACTTTGACTCGTATTACAATTACTAGATCGTTTCGCGCTACGCGTGTGGATAGTTTACTTTAAATTTATTGATATATAATTTTAAATTATTTTTATTTTATCCAATTTAATTTAATATTATTTGTTATTTAACTTAATATCATTTGTTGTTTTTATACAACACAAAGTAATAATTATGTTAAACTCGTTTACTTTTATAAAACCAAAAATTTTATTATAGTAACATGACTCAGATAATGAAGTTAACAAAAAGTATGGTAAAGTTGTTATTCTTTTTATTTTTGTTGAATTTTTTAGTACTTCTAAGATGGGATGATGTAGCATTGGTTTTCGTATACTGATTCCTTTAACTTTTATAATATTTCTAATAATGTCTATAGGTTTAGGGGTTTTTGCCAAAACTAACCCACAACTTGGTTTTAACCCCAATACTAGACCCCAACTTGAATCAAATGCAAATCTAACCTAAAAGGGCTATGAAATTACAATATAGTCCTCTGTGACCAAACAAAAAAACAGAAGACATTTTTACGAATATAACCCTAGTAAGTTGTCTGAGTTGGGCTGAGTTACTTTTCAG